ACGTCCGTAAAATCGTCGGCCCGAGCACGAAACGTGAGCAATGTGCGCGCACACGAATGTGTACCCTTCCGCGAATAATATCGCGTGTGAATGGCGTATTAACTCGGCGCGATCGGGCCTACACGGATCCCGTGGAGAGATTCGAGAGTGTAGGTTTCGCGTAATAGTTTCACCCCCTCCCCCCGGTATCCCGGCGTGATATTTTTATTCATGGGAAGAGAGCGGGGGGGGAGGAGGGATTTTCAACGAACGCATTACGAAGCGCGCGCGCGCGCGCTCACGGCAATGAAGCAGAAATTGCACGCTCGGGGAAGGAGGAGGAACGAAGCGAGGACGAAAGGGTGATATAGACTTTATAAATTGGCATAAATTGCCGTCTAAAACGCAAACGGTCGATACGTTCGGACTACGTTGCCGGAGATATCGGCGTCATTCAATTAATCTCCGAGTTAGCGAATCGAAATGCCTCGATGCTGCTTTGATGCTCTTAGGGATGGTTTTGCATCCATTCAGATGGCCCATAAACTAGTGAAAACCTACTTTGACGATTCTGACACTTCCTAACGTCTTTTTCTCGAATCTTTAATTGCGACCTCGGCTGTCAGCATTCTTATTAACGTTTCGAATGAATTCTTGTATACGCTTATACGTTGTACGAATACGTTTCAAGTGAGATTCCCTTCAAGTATTCAGGCCTATATTAATGATCATTACCTGAAATTTGACTGAAATGAAATAGCGAAATTTGACTTTAGAAACAGATATTTTCGCGATTATATCAACGCAAGATCACATGTGTCATGTGTAATTCTACCGAAGGAGTTGGGTCTAACTTTAAACTCACACCTTCGTATCTCACCCGATACAGATTTCAAATAACGACGATTGATATACGACTCGGAACGCCCCGTCTATAAAACATTTTCGCGCTATTTGGCGCTATTTATTCGCGAATCTAGAGGAAATTTTTCTCTCGCGAGCGAGGAAGAAACATTTCTTGTCTCAGAGAAGAAGTATTTTCTTTCCTTCGTCTCGCGACGAGTTCGACGCCTTCTTCGGTCGATGCGCGAAGAAGCGTTCGCACCGTCTGGAAGGAAACACAGATCGTCCCGGTGTACATAATTATTTTCGCGTTGTCTCAAGCAGAAGAAGCGGAAGTCGAAGGCGCGGGAAGAGCAAGCGCCGGCACAGAACCGACGAGACGGAGGAGGACGACGCTAGAGTAGTCGGGCGCGAGCTGTCGGTGACGGGAATATTCAAAGAAACGCGCGGCGTGTCACGCTCGATGTATTTACAGAAACGGAGCGAACGGCGCGCAGTGAAAGCAGAAATAAAGGGATCCATTGGCATAACGCGCTCCGCCTTGCTTCGCTTCATTATTTTCGAGAGCCCTTTTCCTCGGACTTGCGTCGCTCCGCTGCAACGATCATTAAGCGACTTATAGAAAGAGAGACACACAGAGGGAGAGAGAGAGAGAGTACGCGCGCGCGCGTAACTGTTGGTTAGTCGTTAATAACGTCTACGACCAAGTCAAATAAGGTCCCTCCTTTTCAATCGCCGTAGTACCACTGACGCCCGGCCGTCGAAATGTTTAGTCAGCGGCTGGATCTGTTCACCGTAATCGTTTTCAAACATTTCTCCCTCCTTTTCTCTCCCGCTCGTTCGCTCGTATCGCCTCTTTCGGTTATTTATAACGATGGGATCACACGATGTCGATTGCTCCAGATCGCGCTCGCTTATCGGCCGGTCCTCGAGTTTCGCGCGCGAATTTTTACGACAGTGTGGAAACCGCGCGGAATTTTCCACGTGTGTGCGCGCGCGCGCCTATGCGCATTATCGCGGAATTCGCGAGCGCACACAGACTACTCGCGCGCGCGTTTATATAATTAATTAACGTTTTATCTGGCGAAAATATTTCAGCGGATGTGACGTGTTCGCGAAACGAAGTAACAATTATTAATCCGGTGCCGCTGTCATGATTAATACATTCTACCGTCGTCGTTTAAAGAGATAGCGCGGTATTATTAATTAACGACGATTACAATGGGGGACGACGAGCGGGGCGCGGGGTGTGCGTCGGAGCGGACGTTTCCCGGCAGCGCGAAGACGCGATTTCTTTCACGGGGACTATCGTGGGGTCGCGAGTGTCACGACTAACGATTCGTAGCCAGTAAACGCCGCAAATAGTCGGAAGCGTAACCCGTTACCGATTTCTCGGGGGATAAAGTCTTTCAGCGACGATGACGCGATCGAATCCCGCCGGGGTATCGACGGAGGTCGCGATTAAATTGACGGCGAAAATCATCCATCAGAACGGTCGATCGTGTGTAACAGCGCGTTTTATCGCGAATCCACGCGAGTGTGTGTGTGCGCACGCAGAAAAAAGATCAATGGGAAGGAATTGAGATGTGGCGGCTGAGATGTTTCTTTGAAACGGGGACACTTCAATGCCCCGCTGTTATCGAAACTAGAGTCATTCGCTAGATAGTTTGAACATCGGTGCCGCGGCGAGATATATATTCGCTGCCAACAGAATAAATGACGTTTTAGTACACGTATACGATAATGTGATAATTAGGATCGTGAGTCAATCACCCTTAGGTACTACAACACTTCGTTGATATAAAAGTGTTTCGTTTTGTCTATATTCGATATAATTAGAGAGAGAGAACTAACCAATCGTAGCTAATCATGTTAATAATTTCAATTGTAATGAAGCTGTATCTCACAGCAAGAGTGCATTTTATTTCAGTCAAACTTTCAGCATCTTTCAGCAAGTTCAAACTAGCTAATGAGATTTAACTACTATTTTAAGCTAAGTTATTTTTCCGAGTGTAAATCTAAGTTGTTGGATTGTGAATGAATCCCGCTCCAGAAGCGTGAACATTTATTCGAAGCGGTATTAAAAACGTAAGGATCGCAAGGGTGAAATTAAGAAGAGTTTATAAAGAATATAAAGAATTATAAAGAATATTTCATTTAGATTTACCGTGAATTTTTCAGCCACAGCAAGTGGATTTCCGTCGAGTGAACGTTCCAATTAGAACGAAATTGTTCCAGTGACGGCGGAATACATCGGATTCACTTTTCAATTTAGCGTGGAAATATATTCAGAATGGAAAATTCATTCTATACCGATGAAAAAGGACTCGAGTGAATCGACCGTCACTCCGTTTTTTGAGAGAAACTTTACGTGAAGAAATTTATACGAAAGAACGGCCGCCACCCGTTCATCTTGCTAAAATACGCTTCGAGTTTCAGCCGATACATTTCTACCTCTCGCAATGAGCCGCATTTTATTCGTAATAGCCGATTGCTCTCAGCGCAATGATAGCGAAACGTTTAGCCTGTCAGCCAAGCTGGAATCAGCCAGTGAGATTCGCTTGATAGCGCCAAATTGCCTTTTTGCATGTAGTTACGCTCGTCGCGTAATTTTGTCGGGTCTTCGAGAAACCACCCCCGATGTGCATCTCTCGCGCGTTCGCATTCGGCGGGACGGTTCGCGACTGCAATTTTAAAGAACGGCTAAAAGATGTAGGCTGTACACATATACATGTTTTACACATACACACATACATATATATATATATAGCGTAAATCGCCGGCAACTTACAGCTGCTGTTAAGTCGCGTTCCCGCTATGTATACGTAATCCTAGCGAGTGCTCTCTCCACCCCCGGAGCACTTGTAAATCTTTATTCGACGCCGCATATACGGTGGGATATACTTTACGATTACGCGTGAGCGCGATCTTCGACCTCAGCAGTCGCCCGGGAGCCGTTTATCGACACGCCCGGTCGTATTTCCGTACTTTATTTCCGTACGACCCGTACATTTCGTGTAACGCACATTACTTTATCCGCATGCCGAGAGAGGGGAGGGGGCTGAAATCGATCCTCCAAGAGGCTTCTGTCGAAGAGCCTTTCTGGTATCCTCGCACGTCTCGTTTTTGCTTCGCGTACGATGCATCACGCCGTCGGTACAAAGAAGAAATATAAACATAGCCCCCGACGGGAAGCAACAAGTAATAGCTTCTGTCTCGAGGGTTAACATCGTTCTTTCTCTCTCTCTCTCTCTCTCATGTGATTTTTCCAACGACTTCATTCATTTCACACGTAAACTCGTAAAGCGTGCGCTCTCTCTATCTTCCTCCCTCTCAGGTCTGCCAGAACGGGCGAGACGTGACGGCGGTTTGAAGGTGCACGTGGTTTGAAGATTATAGTCGTTCCGCGCAAATCCGGTAGTTGATATCGGAAAGCGATCGGCGATCATCAGGGCCGATCGCGCGCATCGTAAACGACCGGTATTTCAGAGCCGACGGGCGGGGGGAGGAGAGGACTTTACGACGACCGCGCGAGTTTTTAATAAGCTCCCGGGGACTTTCGGAGACCGTGCGGAGAAAGAGAGAGAGAGAAAAAGAGATGCCAACCCAGCGGGAGCGCAGGGGTTAAACGTTAACGTCCCGACGCCCTATGAGCGAGAACGGCTTTTGAAAATGTGCAACCACCGGAATGAATACGCGCGCGTAGCCGCTCGAGAAAGTGCGTAATAAATCGCGCCGATTAATCGTAGTAAGCGTGTCACGAGAACGACTTCCGAGCCATCTTGATCGCCCGAGAGAGAGAGAGAAATGTTCACGCGACGGGGATTATCACGATAACGTCGTGCGCTTTAGATTTTCGTTGTCGTCGTCGACTCTCTCCGTCGACTGTCGGCGAGTCGACGTGGAGGCCCGCGACGATCGCGCGCGCGCTACTACTGGATCAGCGTGTCGCGGTCGTTTTGAAAACGCGACATTACTTATCGGCGTGCGACGCAAGTAACGTTTCACGATCTATTACATTCAGGCGGATATACTCGTACCTGCGCGCGCGCGCGTCTCTCAGGTAAGAGGTGCTGCTACTTTGCACACGGGACATTTCCTGAGTTCGACGAACGCGGCGTGCGCGACAAAAATTGGCGCCGCGTTACGCAAAAGCTGGTACCGGATATATCACTTACTCGTGGGGCCGATCAGCGACGGTGCGTGGTTATCCATAAACCGGCTGGCACTTTAACCCCACTGCACTGACACTGGGCGCTATCATCGTCGCAAGTTCGTTACACCGCGCGTCGTAACGTCATTCTCAGCTCCCGAGCGGCTCGACCATCGGTGGTCGCGTGTCGACGCGAGGGAGAGAGAGACGTCCACCTGAGATTACTTCTTCCCACCCGGAATAAAAGGGAGAAAAGTATATCCCATAGGAATCACAAAGGCGAGAGATCCCCTCGGCCGCCAATCGGCACACCGGAATTCCCTTCCGTCGCCCGACGGGGAGGTGGTGTGCAAACTGTTGGCGGGTGCAAATCGAGGCTCCGGAAGAAGTCGCAACGGAGGAGCAGCCCCGGCCGGCTATCTGTGCGTACGTTTCACGTGATGCGCGCGTTTTCGTCCTCCGGAGAGTGAGAGAGCGAGCGCGCGAACGAACACCAGGAGCCCCAGCGCGCGCGGCTCGTGTCGGCCAACTGACTCGCGCGCAGAAACCTGGGGGCCCTTCGCCTCTTGGGCGCCGGTGCTGGGCGACTATGGCTGGTGGTGGTGGATGTTGCCGGCGAGGTGGTGGAGGACGACGGCGGGTCGCTACTATGGTGGTGTACGCCGGTGGGGGCGGAGAGAGAGGGAGAGAAAGAGAGGAAGGCAGCTAAGAGCGGAGCGCACGCTGGTGGGAGCACGATTGCCGTTCCGCAGTCGTTGCTGCACACGCGGATGCTGCGGAGTGCTGTTCGAGCTGCCGCGCCAAACGGAGGAGAGTTGTTGCCGACGCCGCAGCGGCGTCCGTGTACAGAGAGATGGCCGCAGACTTTGTTAAATATTCATCCGCAGCCCGGCTGTCGTGTACATTGTACCGCCCCTCGCGGCGGAATATTTGTCCAAGCCGCTTGTTTCCCCGATTACTCGAGGGAGCCGCGGCGAGAGTGAATTCGCGGAGCGTTCGATGGTCGCGCGGCCGTTAGGAATGTAAGATGAGCTGGCGAATGATTAATATCGGTGGACGATGGAATTTCGCGCCGAAAGAGCCGAGGCGGATTATTCGCGTTCGACGAGCGCGCCGGGATGGAGTCGAACGCGCGTCGTTCGCTGCCCTTTCGCCGAGGGTTGAAGAAACGCCGAGCGAGCGAGCCGACCCGGTAAAAGGGCGGAATCCGAACGACCGGAGAGAGAGAGACGAGCCGTTGTACTTCTCCCTTTGACAGGGCGCGCTAGCTCGGCCTCAGGCCGAGCGTGGAATCCGCGTTTCGACCGGTGCATAAATTTGTTTTTTCACCAAATAAATACTGCCGCTCATTTATTTACGGTGACCCGCGTCGTCCTTCTTTCCCCGTTCTCTCTTTCTCTCCGTGATTCTCCCTCTTCCTCCTTCTCCTGCTCCTCCTACATCGCCGATCCGCTCGGCAACGCCGACGTACCTGTCGCGCACACGGTCTCCGGTTCCGATAAATAAATATTGACCGTCGAGATGGGCACCGCAAACAAATCCATTAATAACACAAGTTTAACTCCCCGTCGCGGAATTGCGCGCGGAATCGGCTATGGGAGAGGGAGTTTCACCTGGACCAATCTCTGACGGTCCTCCCCACCTGCCCCCTCCCTGCCCGACGCGCCTAACTTGACATTGTCGGTGTCAATTTATGCCTGCGGGTGAATTCGGCGTCACGGTAGAACAATTTAATAACGTTCATTTCCATACGTTTGCTTGCTCCTCCCCGCGGCCACACCGCGCCGATCGCCGGGAAGACAGAGAAGCGGACGGCATTTGCAGATGGATAGAGCGAGAGAGAGAGGGACTAGCGACGGTGAGAGAGAGCCGCGGCAAGCGAATTCGCGAAACTCTAATCAAATAATCCTCGATGTTTAATATCCAAGTTTCGCGGCGTGTCTCGTTAACACACGCGTTACGAAAGCAAACACACCGGTTTCATCGATAACCCCGTCCGCTCGCCCAGCTCCGATTCCTCGTTACCCCCCGTCGCCTGCTCTCGCGGACGTCGAGGGATGATGATGCGCATGCAAGGGAGTTGGATTCCAAAAGCCGGTCGGCTTCTTCGGAAATTGATTTCCGCGAGGAACCAACCCCGCCCGTTAATTTTAAATATCTCCATTATCGAGCGATGTATCGGGGATATCCTGGCGCGCGCTCGTCTAATTGGACAATCGATATTCCACGGTACTGCTCCTCGTTGAATCTTAAATACCTCTTATGCAAGCTTCTCTTTTTCCAGGGTACATTGCTCTCTCAGACCCTATTTCGCGATCTATATCGGATGTTCATTAGACAGAGGAAATCGGACTGGATCGCCGTCTTCATTGCGATTCACTTAATGTTTTCGAGAACACTTAGCGATATTTCGAGAGATGCTGTTGCAAGAAGTGAATATTAAAAATAGATTATGAGAAGACACTTGAGGTTCATACGCGCGCGCGCGTTGTGGAAACTATAGCGGGGTGAACAGCCCTGCAGCGATATCGCGATATAAGAAATTTATTTCTCTCTCCGTCTCCGTCGACTCGTCGTAGTTCTCTCGCTGGCGGCACACGTGCTGAAATATTAATTAAACGGATTTAAACGCGCGCGCGCGCGAAACTGACGGAAAAGCAACTGACAATGTTTTTGATAGATCACCTAATAGATCTTAATAGCTTAATATTTACCGAAAATATGACGTTTCAAACATGCTGAAACGTATAAGTCCCACCCAAAATATGAAAAAGGTACAAATTATAAATAATAGAGAAAAATATAGAACGAAAGTTTAGTGGTAATTTAAGGGCTACAAAGTAACATAATCAAAAATTGGTATTAAATTTTTTCTTCTTCAAAAAAATTTTTTTGGTATTTATTTATATCATTTTGTAACCCCCAACTAACCCTTATGTTAAACTTTTATTTTTAGTATATCAAACATTTTTCTCTATCTTTTGTAGTTTAAGAGTTATACGCGCAAAAATGGAAACGGCCTCTTAAATTTGAGATCGGAAACCATACTCTGAAAAGGCGATAAGGCACGAAAAAGGGGCATACACGTTAGTCGTGCCTTGAGAGTCACTTTACATACTCGCAAAAGTTCATTCAAACTGAAGAGTTAGGGTTCGCGGTGTATACTTGTGAGAACGCCTCCTCGCGCATATATTTCTATTCGCGCTACAACGTCGAGACGGAGAGAGAGAGAGAGAGAGAGAGCGAGATATCGACGCCTATTTATGTCTCTGGCTGCTCGTTATGTATATAATTACTGACAGTCTCGTATCTGATTCCGACAATACGGTAACACGATGTTGTCGTGCGCGTGTCTCGACGTGTCCGCCCGTATTCTCCTGTCATACGACTCCTGATCGATAAATAAGAGTCTCCGTAGACAATAGTGCGACGAGACAAAGGATAGAAATAGGGAGAGGGAAAGGGAGAGAAAAAGAGATAGAATTGAAAAATCGACCCTCTTCTCGCGGCTTTACCCGTATACTCGATGTAAAACGGAGAAAATGATAGCTTCGTAATCCTATATAAACACGGTTATTTTTATCCCATTACGGGGCGGTTCCGTAACGGTCCCGTGTAGTCTCTCTCTCTCTCTCTCTGCATAATGCTCACGTTCGTTGTGCACGGAGCTTAAAGGCCGGCCGGGGATGACCGCAGGATCCCGAGGGTTGCACCGCTGCCACACCCCCTCACGTCTGCCACCTCGGCACTGGTTAACAGCGGGGGGGCGAATATGCCCGGTCTATGATACAGACTTTCCCAATGGTGCCCCGGGTTCTCGCGGGGTCCTACGTGTGCACCTTCCATTCCTCGATTCCTCGCGCCTTCGTCATCAGAACGGGGATCGTTGGGAACATCTCTCGTCGGTGGAGAACGCGCCGCGGCGACAATGTAAGCGGCGCGAGGTGATTCTGAAAAGATATTCGTCATAAAGAGCGCCTCGAAGCAGAACGAATGCGGATACGCGTGGTAATCGTGAAAGGTCGAAAGCTGTGTTCTCCTAATGAACGAGTGGCTCTTCGTCGAGGCGTTGATTGTCAGCGTAGATTTGTCGCTGTCTGAATTTCTTGCAGCGGAATTTCATTCGTGGAAGGTGGAGCGCGCGGCTGCCGAGTCACTCGAATTCAAGGGACTTTCCTCTCGTGTGGAATCGAATTCTCCGTTTTGGACAGTTGGCTGAATATTTTCATTGAAAAATGAATCTAACACGTTCTACCGTTACGGGAACAAATTCACTTTATCGGCTGAAATATTCATTCACATGGATTAAAAACTCTCCCTTCAGGCTCGAATTAAACATCCTCCCTTATAATTGGCAGTATTATCTCCTTATCTCTTCGAGCAAATTTCCACTCGTTTTGAGTGATATTTCGCTTTAAAAAATTCAAAGAGCAGTTTATAATTATTTCAAGCTCTGATTGGGCAGACACGCACTACAGTTTTGTTTCCTGCTCCGACAGGGTGTTATCTCAGAGCACGATATGTTCTACAGATCACGATCAGCAGATTCTATTTCATTCTATTCTAATTCTAATCTCGCGTGTACTCGGTTCATCCTGAAGCCGCGATGGTGTTCCGGTAGAGAGAAACACTCGGAGTTGTACGGTTTTCGAAACGTCGGTTCCGACTAAGAACCGAGAGAAACACGTGTCGCGCACTCCTCGAAAGTCTCGGTTGCCTGCGACGCCCACGAATCGGTCGTATCGTTTCTCATTTTGGAAACCTTCTTCCCTCCTCTTTCTCTCTGGATGTCCCGCTAATGACATGCAGCCATATTAACGCGGGACAGTTACGGCGTATCGCGGAAACACGAACGTCTGCCGGTGCGCGCCGGAAATCGCTCCTTATCGACAGGAAACTTTCAAGTATGCGAGGAGTATACGCCGGCGAGAGCGGCTGCGATACGTAACGGGTCGGCGCGGAATTCAGTCGGCGGGCGGAGAACCTCCGCCTCGGAGGTTCGCGGGAGAACCGGCGGAATATTTTTTTCGTAGACCCTCGTGCGCTCGCTCCCGTGGGTTGCCTTCCTTAAGAGGAAACTCTTGTAAGGTCGTTTCGTTTCGCCAGGAGGTCAACGGAGCCTGAAGCCGCCGTCCCTCGCCGCCCCTCACCTTCAATGCGCTGCGGTGGTATCGTTCTCCCCTTCGGTAGGAGCGGACTGGAATTCTATGGTCGAATCGGGGATGAGAGACGGGCGGGCGCGATCCGGTTTACGTAAACTCCGCGTCCCGTATAAATATGTATAGAATATCGTGAGGATCCGCGCTCTCGCGGGTGGATGATTAGGATATATAAAGAACGCCCCGATCCACTCGGAGTTTCCTCGTTCGTTATGTAATATATAACGCAGGAATAATTCACGAGGGTCGCGTGCACGTTCATCGCACGGGTATGTCCGCGAATAAATATATTCGTTATTTCTGGAGAAAGGAAAAAATAATATATTAGAGGGGGAGAGCGAAGCTCGTGCGGGACGGTCAGGTGTACACGACGGCTGTTCCACTGGATCAGAAGATCGCGAGACGCACAATCAAGTTATCGAGAACACAAT